GTGGGATTATTGTGAAAAGGTTTTACTTTTAATGTTCATTTCTCTATGTTAGGCATCTACCAGAAAAAATTGGTAGCTGTGGTTAATAAGAAATGGTTCCTAACAGTTCTCTAAGGTGATTCTGCCTATTTTCACTTTCACCTGCAATATCTGAGTTCCCATTTCTCCATATATTCCCATAAGCATTTGATATTGTCAATCTTTTAATTTTAGTCTACTTTTTAGGTATGAAATTATATTTAATTCTGATTTGAATTTTATGATGGCTGAGATGATGATATAATTTAACATTTTTATTGAACTATTCTGTGTCTTCTTTGGTAACATGTCTAAGACCTTTTACTCACTTAAAAAATTGGGTTGTTTTTCTTTTTATAATAAAAAGGTGTACAATTTAAAATATAGATAATGTGGATATGAATCATTTGTCATAATATTTAATCTAAACATTGTTAACAGTATCTTGCATTGTTAATAGTATCTTTTGAGGACTTGAAATCCTTAATTTTTATCAAATCCCATGTAAATCTTTTAAAGAAATTTCTAATGGTGGTTGTTTCCTAAAAAAAATTTGCCTAATCCCACGGCCACGAAGGTATTTTCTTATGTTTTCTTCTTGGAGAAGACTTTTAGTTTTATTTTTTATACATTGCATCTTATTTTTCTGTATGGAATGAGGTAGTGGTCAAAGTTCATTTTATTTCATATATTTATTCAGTGGCTTCAGCACCATTTTATTGAAAGCAACTTCCTATCCAGCTACTTTGGTGAAAATCGGTGGTGTGTGTGTGCGTTAGTCTGTCACCCTGCTGCACACTGTTCTGTACACGTGGGCCGTAATACCAATGCCGCGGCTCTTTATTACGGTAGTTTTATAAGAAGTCAAAGTTTATTCCTGTTTAGTTCTTCTAAATCGACACTGTTTTTTATTTTCTATGAAATTAGCATAAATTTGCTGATTTCCTCTACAGTGGCTGAGATTTTAGTTGGGATTGTCTTGACTCTAAACACTACTTTGGAGAGTTTGGACATGTTACTAATATTGTCTCTTCATCCGTGAAAATGGATCACTACATTTATTTAGTAGAAATTTTTCAGCAATGTTTTGGTATAAAGATCTCTCATTTTTCTCTATTTCTACATTTATGACATTTCTGTATAAGTATCTCATGCTAACCAACTGCACCACTGGAGCTCAGAGATTTATATTTCTGATACTATTAAAATACTATTAAGTTTTCTTGCCATTTTATAGGTAGTATATCTACATACTTACAACTATTAATTTTGTGTCTTATGCCCTTGACCAATCCACTTATAAATTCTACTACTGTTTCATGGATTCTAAAGGATTTTTTATGTAGATAAACGTGGGCTTGAAAGTAATGGCATTTTTCTTTTGTAATTTTCACATCTGTTATTTGCTGTTTTTGCAGATAGTGGTAGCTTAGGGTGCACTGAACATTTCTTATGTGAAGTGGTAAGGAAACGTATCTTTCACTGTGTGCTGACTTTTCTTTTCAGGAAAGGACTAAGTATTTCACCACCTACTATGATGTCACCTGTATATTTTCATAGATGTCATTCATCAGGCTAAGTTCTCTTCTATTTCTAATTTCACTGAGATTTCATCATAAATGAGTGTTAAATTTTGTGTAACTATTTTTGTGAATATTGAGGTAGTCATGCAATATTCTTATGTGGTCTCTTCCTATAATAAGGTGTATTGGTTAAATTTTTCTGTTAAACCAATTTCACACCTCTGCTATAAACTTGATCATTACTTATTTTGTATATTGCTAGATTTAATTGCTAATATTTTATGATATGCTTTTGCAAGCATGATCAAAAAATATAATGGTCTGTATTTTTTATATATTTGTTGTTTTTAAAAATTAGGATTAAATTGATCTTGTGATAAAAACTGGGGAGAATCCACTCCTCTTCTGTTTTCACTGAACATCACCAATGAAAGAATTTGACTTTTTAAAAAATATTTTGTCGAAATTAGTGGTGAAGCTATTTGGACATGGAATTTTCTTTGTTGGAATGCTTTTAATTAAAAAATTGTCTTCTTTAAAATATAAATGGACCAGTTTCAATAAGTGGGTTTTTGCAAGGACTTTGATCACCTCATTAGTCTACTTATTATCTTTTTAGTGCCTATAGGACCTGTAGACCCTTTTTCAACACTGACTTTGAAACTTACATTTCTCTTGTTTCTTGATTTTTCTTGGTAAGGTTTATCCGTATATTCACTTACGTAAAATAACTATACTTTATTTTTATCCCTTTGCAATTTTGTTTCATTGATTATTTTATGTTTTGGATGTAATTTTTGAACTTTTTCTACCATTCAAGGTGGATACTTAATTGTTTTGGCATTTTCTTTTCTAATATCTACTTTCTACACTAAACTTTCTAGGTACTACTTTCACTATATCATAAAAATTTTGACTTAAAAAATTTGAAATATTTTAAAATTTTCCCTCTGAGTTTTAAATATTATTTAAAACTGTGTTGTCTAAGTTCCAAGTACTTTTGAAAATCTGCTACAGATAATCTGTCGGACCAAAACAGATCCTTCACATACTAAAAGGATAGTAATTGGACAGAGAAAGCGGATAAATCTGAGAAAAAACTACTTCATGAATTTAGTTGTATTGTATGATAAATACATTTTTACTCAAAATCCTTTCCATAGGGTTTAGATGTAACTTAGAGGTAGAACACTTGCCTAGCGTCTGCACGAATGTGGGTTCAGTCCCCAGTAGTGTAAAACAAAAGCAAAAACTTTTCTACAAAGAAAACTTCAGGTCCAGCTAGCCTGACCAGTATTTTCCAATTTAACACTATTTGGTCAAGGAACACAATTTGTATAGTTTTAAGTCTTTGGAGTATAAAATCCCTCAGCCCCAGAATATGGTCTCTTTTGGTCATTATTCTGTATGTATTTTAAAAACATTTATATTTTTTTGCTGCCTAAGGGTGGAAGGCTGTATAGAGGCAACTGGGCACCAGTACTTTTGGGAGAGGGGTATCTAGTACAGTGATTGCTGAAAGCTGGGTATAGGAATCTTATCTTTTTTTAAAAATGTGTGTACTTCTTTTCCTTTTTTAGTTTTTTTCTATTCAAATGTTTTAATATTATCTTTGTAAATATGTAAGATTTTTGTATCTTTCTGATTACTCATTTTATTTCTCTGAAATTTTAATCTAAAATTGTTGTTGCTATGTTCTGTACGTCATGTGTCTTTTCATAGTCTGGCAAGATTAGGAACTTTTAATTTTGAATATGATATACCTAGATGTAATACACTTTACATGTTGCTTGAGCGTGTTGAGCTTTTTGGGCTGAAAGTTGATGGCCTTCATCAGTTCAGAAATTTCTTGGTGATGTCTTTTCAAGCATATTTTCATTCCACCTGAAAAATCTAATTACTAAGTGCTAAATCAAGATTTACTGATTTTGTCCCCTATGGGGGATATTCTATGCCTTTTATTACTTTTTATTTTCTTCCTCAGGTTTAATTTTTGGGTAATATATTTACTTGTCTTTAAGTTCACTGATATTTTGCTTTGATTTGTGCAGATGAACCCATTACATGAGTCCTTTTCTGACATATTTTTATTGTAAGCATTTACTTTTTTATTGTTGTCATCTCTCTTCTAAAATGTCCATTATTTTTGCAAATGTTATTCCTCTTATTTGCTAAGTCTTTTAACATGCTTGTGATAGTCATGTTTAAAACCCTATTTGATACTGGTAATTCTGATATTTATATAACCTCTGAATTTACTCCATGGTTTCTTCTGATGAGAAAGTTTTGTTTGTTTTTGCTTCTCATACCTTGGCAGAACCTTGCGAGATTTCTTTCAACTTGTCAGTGTGGTTTTCAGCTTTTTGGATCTCTGACTTTTTGGTTTATGCTTGACTTTCTGGTTTTTTATCTCCCCAAGCTGAAAACAGCTGAGGAGCCTTGAGGGAACTCCTCTCAGCTCTTTTGCGGCTGCTACAACCTTCCTCAAGCCACTGCTCAGTGTCTGAGGGAAACTCTGCCCAGCTGGACAGGAGGAGGCTGGGTGGAAGAGGTCTCTACACTGTTGTTCTATACTGCTCCATATAATTTTCACCCTATTTGTCTACTCTGCACACTTAGTATGAGCTCCTGGGAAGAATTACTTGGTGTGAACATTTTCTCTCTATGGTGGGGGCTTCTTAGTGTTGTAATCTGAATTCTTATCTGACACACTAGCTTTGAATGATATTTTCATGGTTTTGCAAATTCCCCTTATCAAACTTCACTTCTGCCAGGAGTAGAAATATCTATGAATCTCTTTAACCTATAAAGGGTTAATAACTTCTGGGATTCAGTTCATTTTTGTGTCTTGAAATCCTCTCCTTCCTATGTGATTAAGAATGGTCACATTTGTAATTTATTGGGCATGTTTTCCTTGCTGTAATGACATTTGACATCTTTCCGTATTAGAACAAGAAATAAAGTCTTTAGACTGATGTCTGAAAGAGATACATAATAAAGTCACATAGTTAAGTGTTTATAAATCAAATAAAACTGTTCTTAATATTTTTCTGATTACAACTCATCTTCTAAATTAAATGCTATCATTCAGTTTTACCGAGTAATTTTTCCAGATACCTTTGAATTGTTTTTAAAATTCAAATCCATATTTAAAAGTAGAATGTTTGATACAGTTCAGACATTAGAAAGAATATTTTTGAACAGATTTCACCTAAAGGAAAAGTTCAAAAAATATATTTTGAGCAAATCTCAAAGTTTTAGAAAAATATATACGTTTCCAAGACAATTATGAATTAAAAGGTATATCATGGTTTTACACAGCTCCTACTCATAGTATTCTTGCATTAATATATTAAAATTTATCTATTTTAGGCACATCTGAATTCTAAAAATAGTCATAAGGTTAATTAATGGCTGAGCATTTGTCTAATATGTTTAACTTTTCTTTTTTCTATTTAGGAATTCTAAAACCAAAATATTAGATTGAAAACAAACATGGCTCACCATATTACCTTTCTTTGGATAGTTTTGATTCTGCTTCTCCAGAAGTCTGTGTTTGCTGAAGATGGGGAAATAAGATCAAGTAAGAACTATCAACATTCTCTCTTTTTGTATAAAGTAACTGCCTTGTAGGACTGAATGATGTACATAAACCCATATAAGTGTATTAGCACAGTGGTATTTCAGTAAGTGGGGATCCTTGCTTTGACTGCCTGCAAGAAAAGTTGCGTTAGAGATTGGGAGCTGTAATAGTTGTGGTTCTGCTACACAAGCTACCATTGGCAGATAACATACCTCTCTTTATAAGTTTGCTTATATTTTTATTTTAAAATTCATAAACATAAACAGTATAAATAATTGTCTCTATAAAAGTTAAAGCATAGGGTTCAACAAATTGATTCTATTTGGCCATAAATTTATGAAATGATATTTAATGTTTGTGTAACTCTCTTATAGTGTAATTCACCCTAGCACTCTCCAAGACACACACCCTTGTTTCTACGTTTTCAGTGTAAAAAGAGACCTACAAAATTAAGGATTTCTGCTCCTTTCCCTTCAGCTGGTTATGGCAGTGACTAGTATTTGAACTGTGCTTTTTATCTTCAGTCCTAATCTTTTCCTATGACATCATTCGTCTCTCTAAGGAGGAGATCTCTTGTATTTTGTCTGGAGTTTATAAATGGCAGTATTTGCTTTTGTAGCCCTGCTCTTGGCCAACCTTGCAGTTATGAAATACATGCTCAATGGCTCTATGACAAGAGATGTGTAGGAAAAGCCAAGAATAACCTGTAAGAACTACCACCACGGAATCAAGAGGCACACAAACACTGACAGGTTCAGACAATATGAGCGTCACTACCGAGGAAGAGCCAACACGGAACAGCTCTGCAAATACAACCTTCCTATCCTTTTGTTCTCCCCCACCAAAAAAAACCCTAACACATAGTCATCTTATTTTAGCCTGGCTTCCAAAACCAAGGGACAAATGGCATTCTTTTGGCTTTGCAAATTTGTGTGTGGGCAGAATTTCATTCCTGCTATCCCTGCCCTGAATACTGGGAGTAGTCACCATTGTAGAGATTCATGGAGTTGTATCCTTAATACTCTCCTGAGGCCACCATCACTTGTAATGTAGCATCTTAGTATGAATAGCGTTGTAATCATATTAAATTTCTCTGAAAAATCCATGTTTTGTCATTTTTGGGTAAGTTCTTGGCTTACCAAAATTCCCCTAACGTTAGTGTTTATTTTTCTGTTGGCTGGGATGGGTGAGTTAAGGTAACTATGAAAGTGGAACCACTTCATTTAAATCTTGTCAACATCCTAGGTATCTAAGTAGAAATAAATAACAGAAGGAAAGGGATATGAAGAAATGTAAGACAAGGAAAAGTAAAACAGAAGGTAGCTTGATTTATTCCTAAGGACATGAAAAAAAGAGTAGGAAGGCTAATTAGCCCTAATGAGTTTTTTCTTTAGTATCTACTTTATAGTTATGATATCTTATTCTCATATATTTAAAGACAATAAATCATGCCTGTTTTAACTTTAAACTGGGCATCTGATCAGTGTGTAAGTGTCCATTAATATGAACAAAATTAAAAGACTCGGTATTTGTTCTCGTAGTACTTCGACTCCACATCTCCTCTTTTCTAGCTTACCATCTGGAGGGTTATATGGTTCTCCTTAAACGAAATGTAAATGTGCTGAATTTTGTAAATAAAATGAATATAAAATTATCTATCATATGGGATATAAACCATAGCTATTTTTGCTGAATCGAGTATGGAACTTGGGAGAAGAGAAGACAAATATGGCTGTTTGGCCCATGAGGTCTGTTAGGCATTTCTAGGTTTTGGATTTTCAAAAAAAAAAAAAAAAAAGAAAACCAAACAACAACAACAAAAAAACCAGTTTATTTGTCTGTCTTTTACCTCTAGGCCTTAGTACTTGCCGGTCCTTTTGCATATCTCCTTTTTCACTTTATTAAAATGCTCATCTCTCAGAGATTGTCAATCAGCAATTGCCAGTTGCCAAAGGTTTATAAAACCTTTCCCTGATCTTCCATACTTAGATTGCTACCCCCTCTTGGTTGTTTTTTTTTTTTTGTCTTGTCTTTTTGAGACAGGGCCTCCCTATGCAGTTCAGGCTGGCTTTGAGCTCATTTTGTAGCCCAGGCTGGCCTCAAACTCGCAATGATCCTCCTGCCTTAGCTTCCTGAGTGCTGAGATTACAGGCGTGCGCCACCACTCCCAGCTCTCTTAGTTGTTTTTATAATATTTTACACTTTCTCTGACCAGCCAGTTTTCTGTCTTCCTAGACTGTGACAGTTTGAGAAATCTTTTTTTTTGTTTTGTTTTTTTTTGTTTTGGTTTTTCTCCGGTACCGGGAACCGAACTCACGACCTTGCACTTGCCAGGCAGGCGCTTTGCTGCTGAGCTAAATCCCCAGCCAGAGAAATCTTATATTCATTTGAATCTTGTTCATAGCAGGTTGTCATATTAGGCCTCCAGTATACTGTACTAAAAAAATTAAGCCTACAGACATGTATTCTATAGAAAAAGTTGTGTTTTTTTCTTTTTATCACTGCTTATAACTTGCCTAGAGTAACTTGTACCATAGATTTTATCCTAATGAGACCTTAAGATATATTGCCTATATTATCTTCCTGTTGTGTCAAAGCAAGAAATCTTTATTGAAAAAGGAATGGTTTTATCCTCTTAAACATAAGATTCATTTAACAGAAGCTAATGTTTTGTTATATTATTTGTTGAAGAGAGATCAGAACTTTAGAAACTAATTTTGGGTGTAGTGAACTTGTTTCACTTAAGTTTTACCAAGTACTTTAGTATGAAGTTGTATTGTCTAGTCAAGTCTTGAAGTTGGCAGAGAATTTGTTTAATATCTCTGTCCATATTGTTTATTCCTTTAAATGCTTTATTTTATCATTAAACTTAATATATTTTGCTGATTACTTACAATAAGCGATGATGTTAGTGCACAGCTGAAATCCATATTTGAAACCTTCCGCTTTCTGGTTTTCACGCAGCAAATGTGCTCTGTTGATTTTGTTCTTCACTTAGGCTGCCGTACAGCCCCCACAGACTTGGTTTTCATCTTAGATGGTTCCTACAGTGTTGGCCCGGAAAACTTTGAAATAGTGAAAAAGTGGCTTGTCAACATCACAAACAACTTCGATATAGGGCCGAAGTTCATCCAGGTTGGAGTGGTCCAGTACAGCGACTACCCCGTGCTGGAGATCCCCCTGGGGAGCTACGACTCGGGGGACACTCTGATGGCAGCCATGCAGTCCATACACTACTTGGGCGGGAACACGAGGACTGGGAAGGCCATCCAGTTTGCGCTCGATTACCTTTTCGCCAAATCCTCACGATTTCTAACTAAGATTGCAGTGGTGCTCACAGATGGTAAATCGCAAGATGAGGTTAAGGATGCAGCAGAAGCCATGAGAGACAGTGGGATAACACTGTTTGCCATTGGTGTTGGTTCAGAAACAGAAGATGCGGAACTTAGAGCCATTGCTAACAAGCCTTCCTCCACCTACGTGTTTCATGTGGAGGACTACATTGCAATATCCAAAATAAGGGAGGTGATGAAGCAGAAGCTTTGTGAAGGTAAGTCTCTGTGTCCTTTGGAAATTGTGGTTTTTTACATTATGGTGCTACCTGTTCGTTAGCCCTGATGTAATTACACCTTTATATTTAATATCAAGTTACTTATAATATCACAACTGAGGTGAGCACAAGTTTTTGTGCAGTAGTGATTCTGAATCAATATTACTTCTAGAAACAATTACTTTTTAATAAAATCTAATAAGAAAAATATTTTTGCTCCATTTAATTTTCCTTCAATTGCATCTATGATGGTAGAAAATAAAGAAAAAAATAAAAATATATAAACCCCACATCATCACATAACTTTAGCTAATGAATTTTTCTGTATTTTTCGTTCTAGTCTTTTCTTCTTTTTTTTCTTAATGCATGAGTTTACCTATCTGCCTAAATAAGGAAGCTGTTATGCACATAAATTCATAGTCTATATACCCTACTGTGTACATAATTTTTCACTGTTAACATAGTAAAGAATAGTCCCTGTAGTAATTGATTTAGTAATTAGCTAGTTTGTGTACTTTTCTAGGTTTTATTTATATAAAAATAATTGTGAATATCCTTGTATATAATTCTGAATGAAAACTTCTTAGTTTTTTTCAGAGAAAGTATCAAAGAACTGACATTTAGAAGGTCTGGAGAAATGATAAACTTTGCACTTAAAAGATTTAAAAAGTCCTCTTTAAAGAACATTTGAACAATAAAGTACTTAGGGCTGTATTGTGCTTTTATCAGTTCATAAACTCAAACTTCATGTTTTTGGTAACTGGTTTGAGAAATTTCCAATTCTTGGTAAAAATTAATCCAGTTATGGTATAGATGTGCTTCTTTTTGGATTGTTTCAGGAGAATAATTTGTTAATGTCTTCTTTTTTACATTATAAGCATTTAGTTATCATAATATTAATACAAATTTTCAAAACTTTTATTTTCCAGTTTTCCTTAAAAGGCTATAAAAATGTTTGTTCACATTTAATGGAAAAATTCCTAGATGTTTGTATGGGCAACAAATTATGATATTAATTTTTGTTGTTGTTTTTGGTTTTTTTTTTTTTCCATTACTGGGAATCAAACTCACAACCTCGGGCTTGTCAGGCAAGCGCTGTGCAGCTGAGCTAAATCCCCAACCTATGATATTAACTTTTATATTTCATTCATATTTTGTTTAGTGGGAATAATAAAAACATTTTAAAGATTTTCTTTACAATTCATAGCTAAGAAAGTGCAGAAATTCTAACATCCTCATTAGCCAAGCATCCCTCAGGCACTGTAACAGGTACCTATGGTCATCACCATGTTTTTAGTGAGTCTGAAATTGTATTACTGGGTTAACTTTGATCATCTTAAATAGGTCAGACAGGTTAATTTTTTCATAGACAGTCAGATTCATTAGAATTCCTTTATTTTGAGTCCAGATATACTTCATTACTAAAATAGACTTTTCCTGGATGAATGTCACTTAGGAATTTTGTTTGAAAGTATAAATATAAGTGGCAAAATGTATCTGTTCAGTATTTTTTCCAGAAATATATTTGGTAGATATATATTTTGGTAAATGCAATCTTTTAAAAAATTTTAATTACACATGAAAGAGTAGCAGTGCTTAAAAGAGTAAAAACTTTCATTTGAAATGTACAATCTGTTAAAAAACTGAAATTTTGCCAAATATTACTTTACCCACAAAGAAAGGATGTAATGTCTGTGTTTATTCAGTTCACATATGTGCTTCCTGAATAGTCATCTTTTAAAATGTATTTTTGAAATTATACTTATGGAATGTATGTTTTTTGTACTCTGTATTTTCATGATCAGTACCTTGAATTAATATATTATATTACAGAAACCTCAAATCCTATCATTTGTATTTCAGTGATTTGACAGTTCACATGCTGCTTTGACATATAGTGAAGTTCTTCTGTGAAGTGTTTAGTATATCGGATTATTGTTTGCTAATACTTGTAACTTTTATATTTGACTGTGGTTGATGTACAGTGAGGAAAGTGTTATTCACCTGCTCTAGACCTCACAATTTGTTTCATCTTCATGGGTCTACTACATCCCTGGGCGTGCTGGCTCCAGTATTTTCCTTGTGTCAAGGCCACATTTTTGTTATGGGCAATGGTTTATTTACTTCTTTGTCTGAAAGTTTATTATTATCATCATCATCATTGCTAACACTATTACTATTTTTCCTCTTTTTCTGCTTCCTTTTGTAGTCTTTTTCCTCTCATAAAACATATATGACATGAAATCTACCTATTAACAAATTTAAGTTGTATAGTATGATTAACTATACACACGTTGTGATACAGGTCTTTAGAATTTCTCATCTTAGTTAAGTGAAATTCAGGTTTCATGTATATATCCAGCTAGTTTTTAATATATGAATTAAGCAATTCTTCATTTCCTTCTCTTCCAAGCCGTGGATATCACCACTATTCTTTCTGTTTCAATGAGTCTAACCATTTTGCATATATAAATAGTACCATGCCATGTTTGTCCTTCTGTGACTTGTTCATTTCACTTAGTAGAACATCTTTAAGGTTAGTCATATTGTCTTACATGATAGGCTTTCTTTTTGGAGATAGACATTATGGCATAATATTTATATACCACAAGGATTAAAATTCATCCATTTTCTCATTCATCCATCCAGGGACATTTATGCTGTCTGCACCTTTAACTCTTGTGAATAAGCCTCTACTGAATATGCAGAATACAATATTTCTTCATGAATTTTTTTCTTTGATTCTCTTTGATAAATATTGAGATGTGGGACTGCTGTATCATGTGGTTCAGATCTAGAATGTCCCTCAAAGACTCATGTATTCAGAAGTGGGACTTTTGGAAGGGGACCGCATTATGAGACTTGCTCGTAGGAGGTAGAGCCTGAACAGGAAAGGTGGGTCCCTGGGAGTATGGCCTAGAAGGGTTTATCTCCCTCTTGGGCTCCTCCCTTCTCTCTCTTGGTCCTGGCACCCATGAGGTGAGCAACTTCTTCGCTGTCAGACCCTTCCTCCATGCCTTTACTGTCTTGCAGCCAGCCAGCCCTGGACAGAAAACATGCACCAAAATAAGCCCCTCCTCATCTAAGCTGTAGGAATTTGGTATTTTGTTCCAGCAATGAGAAGATATCTAAAATATGGGGTAATCCTATTTGTAACTTTTAAATAATCTTCATACAGTTTTCTATAGCATTTCAGTGCTTGACATGATAGGCAACAATGTTTAAGAGTTTCAAATTCTCACAACACTTACCAGTACATATTTGCTGATTTTTTTTCCCCCCGGCCATCCTAACTTGTATGAGGTTTTGATTTTATTTACCTGAGAATTCATGATATTAAGCATTTTTTCATATACCCGTTGGCCTTTTAGGTCTTCTTTGGGGAAGCATCCGTTCAATTCCTATACTTATACTTTAAAAGAGGCTTTTAAAATTAAATTATAGGAGTTACTTAGCTCCGATATTAACCACTTACAAGATGCAAGGCAATTATATTTTCCCATTGTGCAGGTCTCCTTTTCATCCTTTTTACTGCTGCTTTTCCTTTGCAGACTTCACATGGTCTTATCCTATTTTGAGTATTTCTGCTTTTGGGCTGGTAGTTTGGGTGTCAGTTTAAGAAGTCATTAGCAAGAGCCGTGTTAGGAAGCTTTCCCTCTTTTCTTTCAAGAGTTCTATAGCTTCACATTCATTTTTGTGGGACTGTGTAGGATAATGGTTCAGTTTCATTCTTTTGTATGTGGATGTCAAATTTTCCCAGCACTATTGGTTCAATAGACTATTCTTGCCTCTTTGTATAGTTTGAGCACTCTTATTACAGATTATTTATATTTATGTCTTTCCCCTGCTAGATTCTGTTCTTTTCTGTTGGTCTCCAATCTGCCTTGGTCCCCATATTGTTTTGATTACTGTACCATTGTTAGAAAATGATGTCAAGAAGAGTGTAGACTCCAGCTTTATTTTTCTTTCTCAATGTATATTGGGTATTTGTGGTCCGTTATGGTTCCATGTGAATTTTAAATCTTTTTCCTATTTCTATAAAAATTAGGATTTTCATAATGATTGCATTGAATATGCAGGAAGCTTTGGGTAGTAGGAACATTCTAAAATTTAGTCTTTTAATCTATAAACATGGGATTGTTCCATTTATTTTTATCTTCATTTCATTTCACCAGTGCTTTATCATTTTCAGTATTTAAATCTTTGGACCCCTTAGCTAAGTTGATTAAGTATTTTACTTTTTCATGCTGTTGTTCATGTGATTTTTTTGTGACACTGGGTATTGAACTCAGGAATGCTCGACTACCGAGCTACATTCCCAGCCCATTTTAATTTTTATTGTGATACAGGTTCATGCTAAATTCTCAGGCCAATCTTGAACTTGTAGTCCTGCATATACTTCCTGAGTAGAAGGGATATACTATTATATGCAAGTGCCATTGTATTAAGCTAATGTTAATTTCTTTTTTAAAATTACTTACTGGAATTGTGCAGAAATACAGTTGATTCTGTTCTTTGTGTTTGTATCCCACACCTTTGGTGATTTTATTTACTTGAGAAATTTTCATGGGGTATTATCTTTAAAGTTTTCCTTTCTAAATGTATTAACCATACAAATATGGGATACATGGTGATGATTTGATATATGTATGACATGAGTAATGATTAAATCAGGCAATAAACATTTCCAGCTCCTTAAACATTTTTAAAAATTTTAGATTAGAATGTAATAATTGTGCTTATTTATGAAATACAGTGTGGTCTTGTACCATGTGTATGCAGTGTATACTGTATAATTAATGTTTACAACTTCTTATCATTATTGTTGGTTTTGGAGCCATTGAGCTCCCATCATCTAGTTACTCACAAAATATGGAATAAGGTATTGTGAACTGTAGTCCTGCCCCTATGTTGTAGAAAATGAGAACTCACTGCATTTGTGTGGTGGCATTTATCACCAGTCTACTCTCTCCTCTCCCTACCCTTTCCAACTTCTCAGT